TTAGGTCTGATCCCTCAAGTATAAATATGCTCATACCCTCATCATTGTAAATGACTAGATTTATGTGAGAGCTCAAAGTGAGATATAATTTTGAGTGCTTGTAATAGTTCAAGAAAGTTAATAAAATCCTCTCTCTCTCTCTCTCTCTCTCTCTCTCTCTCTCTCTCATTTGCCCGAGTATTTGATGTCATCTTAACCGAACCACGTTAAATATTGTGTTCTTTTGATTTATGTTTTTCAGAAATTTTATTAGTTCATCGGAGTTTGTTTTTGATATTTGTCTGAAGTGCTTAACTTGTTTTTTTTTCACCCAACAACTTTAACTAAACAAATCATCTTTCTTTTATTCACTTTACTAGGCAAATGCTCGCGCGTTGTGCAAAAGCATCTATATAGTTGAAATCTTTACAAATATATGTTTTTTTAAATATAACAATAACGTTGTTGTTAAATTTGATATAATAATTCGTATATAAAATGATATATTATATTGATTATTTTTAATTATATGATAATATATATTTATTATAATGCATAATCTCAATCGTTTGAATGACTTCTACCCGCAAGATACCATTGAATAAAATTAAATATAATATATGGTTTAATGTTATTTATAGTTGTTGTTATTGTTAATTAATTTTTTTAATTTTATTTATTTAACGTTTTAATTTCTATCATTATAATTATTTAAAACAGCAAACATTTTTTATTTTAAATGTAACAATTATTTATATAAAGTTATTTTTAACTATTGTTATTGTAGATTATTTTAAGCTACTTATTTTAATACTTTAGCGATTATAAAAATATCTTTGCGAAATATTTTAATTAAATTAATATTACAATTTAGTTTCTTTATTTTGCAATACAATTTATCACTTTTAACTATTAACAAAATATTCTTAGGGTTTTTAAGTAGAACTGTAATTTATATTTAAATTGACACTGTAATGTTATATTTAAATTAACAATTTAAGTATTTTGTTAAAACTGTCCAAAAGTTGTAGCTTTAAACTTATAATAGTTTACATATAACAACATTTTAAATCTAATAAATTAAGTATGCTATGTTAAAAGTTAAAGACATATAGCTTTAAGATGATAATGATTTACATCCAACAATATATTAAAACTAATAAATTAAGTATGATTTGTTAAAAGTTAAAAAACATAACTTTATAAGTAGAAGTAAAGATATTCTTTTAATATTGAAATTTAGTTTATATACGATTAGATTTTAGGTTTGATGTTTATTTAACCTTATTAATCAAGTTGTAATCATTGAAAAGTCATGAGAGTTTCAAATGAATGTGGTGAAAGGAAAAATACTTCATTTATAAGTATACTAGGCGTAACCTCGCGCGTTGCGCAAGAATGCATTTAAGTTGTTAAAATAATTGTGGAAAAAAATAGAAATATGTTGAAATTTACGTTTTTAGTCATGTTTTGGGCATTAACCGAATTATCAAATAACATAAAAATCCATCAATTTATATTTTGATACTATCTAATATAGTACATACCTTATAAACTTTATTTTTACTTTTATAATATCCAATATATATTATGAGTTTTTGTATAACATTAATATAATCTACATTTCTTATGCCCGATAATATTTTTTGGATAAAATAAGAAATAAGTTGATTTGAATATTTTGCTATTAATAAATATTGAACCAATAAATATTGTATTACACTATTTATATTACACTAAAACATCCAAGGTTTCATATATAAACTTTCAAATATTCAACATTGAAATTAAAAATGAAGTCATACAAAATATATCATTATACATAAATGTCATGAGATTTTTAAAATAAGTCGATTAGTAAATATGATATTTAATTTTAATTACATATTTTGTAAGGTGTGCGATTGACTTTATGTTGGTGTACCGATAATCCTCTTTATTAATTTGTACCTAAAAAATTAAGGTAAATAGGAATATAAAATAGAGATTACAAGACATTAATATAAATAAATAAAAGGGTATGTGGATCTCATACCGCCGGTTAAAGACAACATACCTCTCTAGTGGTATCGATTCCTATGTGAAATTGAAGTAGTCATTCTATGTACACCTTGTTTTCTAATTACATAAACAAATATGAGTAACCAAATATAAAATGTTATCTTTATGTAGGAAAAATATTTTAGTTAACTAACAAATTAAATAATATAAGTTTAAGAGTTACGAGTTTCAAAACATTAATATTTTTATTAATCAATCAGTTAAGTAGCAAATGTTGAGATTTTTACAATTATTATTAAAAAGCATTTGAAATATTAGATTTTAAATGAATTTTGGTTGAAGGGTTTTGACCTCTATTATATATATATATATATATATATATATATATATATATATATATATATATATATATATATATAGAGAGAGAGAGAGAGAGAGAGAGAAAGAGAGAGAAAGGGAGGGAGATGAAAAGTATAACATATGTATGAGTTTTAATTAATTATCTTTTCGAAACGGTATAATTACAAAATAAAAAAAAAAACATATTTAAACTATTTAATTAAATATTTTCGATATCACCCTATATAACATATGATCAATATATTAATGATTAAACCACAATATACAACGATTCTATTATAATAATCCATAAACGAAGAAAATATAAAAACAAATTAGTATAACAAACTTACAAATTAAAAGCTCTAATATAGTAATATATCTCCAAAAGTGGTCATAAGACCTCAACCCAACACAAAAACTTTTAAGTTTGTTTTCTTTCTGAAATTTGTATACGATTTGTATACATGTCTTCCCAAAAGATTGACATTTTTATAGTAAATTTGTCACTAAATGGTAATTAAAAATAATATAAGTTATAAAATTTTTGAGTGTTAAATCATAATTAATAAAACTTTTGAGTTGCATTAGTTAAAAAATAAGGTTTCAAATGAATGTGGTTTGAGGAAGTTAAAAAATGAGGTTTCAAATACATGAGATTCAAGAAAAAAAATGCTAGATTTATAAGTGTATGATATATATTAGTTTAAGAAACCGGTCTTAAATTTAAGATGTTATTGTCGAGGCTGAATATCACAGGTCACCAATGTCGTTGTGGAAAATTGGTGGATCTGCAACCTACTTCTTGAGCTACACTATTCTCCACACCATGCTACTATTTCGTATTGTGATAATGTGAGTGCGGTGTTTATGTCCTCTATTTTGCTTCAACATCAATAGACTAAATATATTGAGAATGACCTTCACTTTGTTCGAGACAAGGTTGCTATCGTAACATGTTTTTCATGTTCCATCTAAATCTCAATATGTGGATATCTTCACCAAAACTCATCTTTATTTTTGAATTTATGGTCCAGTTTGAACGTTTGACAAGCTACTCTCGTTCAACTAGGGGCTGTTAGATGTAGATTTTATGATGTGTATTATGCTGTATTTTTTTTTATTGACCGGCTTACATATTCAAAAATCAAGGATGCATCATAATTATTTTATGTAATTCAATTATTTTTATAAAGTTGCTTATATATTCTTTTTAGATTAACAATTCATTTGGAAAACTCAGTTCCCGGTAACGTTTTCGACTAATCAACAAAAATAAAAGCATAAATTGAAATTTTTTGGTAACAAAGAGTTCTAGTTGTAAAAGAGTTGTTAAATAAACAGATGTACCATAAAAGAATAGAAATATTTGTAAACGTGACAAAGTTAATTTAACTTCAACTTATAAATCATTTCGGATACATAATTTGAAATTATATTTTAAGTCAACACAGTCGAATGATATTGTATAATAACGTGACTCAACGTTAATAAACGTCATTTTAGTTCAATATTCAAGCCTTTTTTTGACTTTATCCATATCAATACGTAAATCTTTTTAATTTCTAAATATCACCACTTTCTTCATATAAATTATCGACAGTCGACACATACACAATTCATTTCACATCAAACCCGTCTATTTCGTAAAGACATGAACCTTATTATGCTTTTTGTTGTTTTAATTGTTTTGTTATCTACCTCAATTATTTGAGCTAATTAAAAGCCATTGAACATGGTCCAGTATATATATGTCATCCCTAAAATATGAGATAAATAATGTCATCAAACCTAACTTAAAGGTGGAGTGACCTTATTCACATGCCCTTCTTTAGGTACACTCTATTTATATAATTCTAAACAAATAATTCAACAAGGAATAAAATATAATATTTCTCCATACATGGCCGGTGCGAATAAAATTTCAATCATTTAGACTTGTGTGATTGACTTGTATACTGTCATACTGATCCTAATTTAGCGTGGTGTATTTCAAAGATTTCATTTTATTAATTTTGTATCATTATATTATTGTATTTTGAGATTCCATTAAATTATGTTATTTTGCAAATGAAAACATCTTTTTGAAGATAAAGATTTCGGTTTCGATTTCTCTATCCGCTGCTACAATAATATATTTTTAATTTTTTCCTCGGTTCGTTACGTTTCAGCGTAAGTTTGACCGATATTGATATTTAACCTTTTAAATTACAAAAATTTCAAAGTGAATTAATCAATTTAGCCAAAATTAAACTCCTCAAAACCAACTTAACCAAATGGAATAGTTAAAACTAAAATACTAAATTCTAAATACCTCTAGCTTTATTGAGTATGTTAAGTGGGTTTTAAGTTAAATAATTTTGAAGGACAACGATAATGACTTAATGAGCATAATAATGGGGCCCATGCATTAGGCATTGCCACATGCAAGTGCGATGAAATGGATGGCTGCCTTCTTGATTAAGCCAACCCACCAACTTCCATACACACCCAACTCTTTATTACTTAAAACGTCTTAACCAAATCACTTTCGCCCTCCTCCTCCTCCACCACCACCACCACCACCATCACCATCGCCGCCCTCAGTTCACTCTCTCATCTCCAACAAGATATTCAAGCAAACCCGGATAACCAATTTCAGGTTTCAGCCGTTTTCCGGTGGTTGCTGCTGCCCTCAAAACATGATGAAAGCCTCCCGAATTATGTTCTTGATCATCCTGGCTATGGCGGTGATTCCGTCTACGATCAAAGCAATGAATCCAAGAAAGCTTGATGAAACCACCAACCCTGTAGGAACACCGGATGACCAGATAAAGTGTGGAAGTTGTCCCTGTGGAACGACTTGCTACGCCAGTCCTCCACCTCCATCACCATCGCCGCCGCCTCCATCTCCACCACCACCGCCGAAGAAGAAGCCGCCTCCATCTTCCGGTGCGAACTGCCCACCACCTCCGTATAGTGGAGGTGGAGGTGGAGGTGGAGGTGGGCTAGCCCCGCCCAATTACATTTACATAACTGGTCCACCAGGTGACCTGTATCCCGTTGTGCAATCTATCTCGGGTGGTGATCGGAGCTTCACGGTGGTGCTGCCGCGTCTGGTGATGTGTGGATTAGTGGGTATGGTAGCTTTATTGTGAATTTCATAGAATCGCTTACAAAGTTGGGGGGAAAGAAAAAGGTCGGAATTAGATTCAGATTCTATGGAGGAACAGAGCAATCTTTTTGTGATAAAAAACGTTTGTAGCATTTTTACTATTTTTTTTGTTTTTTTACTTTGATATCAAATATATCCCTAAATAAAAATCTTTGTATTTCTTTTGTTGTTCATAGAATTATATAATCCATGGCTTACCCATCTTCTTCTTTCCTGTTCTTCCTTGTTTCTGCATAACTTAATTGAGAAATATAAATATATTTCTTTAGATTAAAGAAAGAAAACAAATTGACGTATGAAGAAATTATTTATTTGAGAATAATATTGGAATCCTTAGGTGTTATGATAAATCCAAAAAATAGGAAAAGTTTCCAACGTAACTCAAACGTCTCAATACGTGTCTTATCTCTTTATCTTTCTTATATGGTGGCAAGCTAATAATTAATATAAAATTTCTCCATTTTAGTTTTTAACACATAAAATTGCTAAAATGAAAATAATAAATAAATGATACATAAATGAGTCAAATTTATGGAAAGTTGTGTAGTATATATTCCTATCATTTCATGATTGTATTTAATTTTGAATTGTTTAAAGAATGAATTTTTTTTTTTTTGAAACGGCAATTTTATGCAAAGCAGGCCCCCTGCCTAAGTGCAAAAAAAAAAAAAAATCAACATACTTCAATACTCGTTTTAATAAATGATAAGTGCTAAATTTTAATTCAAATATTAATAAATTTATTTTAGAAAAATAAAGTGAAAATGGTCGGTTTGCAAGAGAGCCGTAGATTTGGACCCATGTCAAGTGAACCGGTGATGGGTGAAGCACGGAAATTTTTGTCAATCATGACTACTCTAAATTTTTATATCTAACCTTCAAAAATTATTTTATACAGTTATACCCCCTTGACATACTTATATATACCACCTCCAAGGTTAATTATATTACTTATTTAGTTATTTACATCCTTGAACACATCTAGATCAATTTTATTTCTTCGCATAATTTACCTATAAAGTAGGAAACTATGTATTAATAATCATATTATATAAAAAAGTACCAATTAAAGTTGTGTAATTAATAAAATATATATAAATTTTGATGGTCGTAGTCTAACCAAATATTATTTTCTAAAAATATTTTGACCTTTGTCATTGTTGGGATTCTTTTTTTTGCAAAGAAGATGTGACATGAGCTTGTAATGTAATGACATCTTTTAGAAGTATTATCAAAGATATGTTCAACTTCAAACAAAAGGTATTTATCGTCTTTCTATATGTTTTAAAAGAATTATACATAATTAATTTGATTTGTCTCTATATTTATTGTTGTTCATTTCAAATGGGTTGATCCAAAATATGTAGAAACAAGGATACATAAATATGTAAAGTAAATATTATATTTGGAAAGTGTAGTTAATAGCAAATATAACCTTCTATAAACATGCAACAAAATCAGTTTAATATGACTAATTATGAACATTATGTTAGAGATACTTTGATTGTATATATCATATTAGAATCATTAACTTTGACATTTTATATTATTTTATGTTTTAAGAAGAACAATGATTAATTAATTTACAATAAAGTCACAAATACAATAGGTAAAAAACTTAATCATTCCGTCATATTATAAGTCTGTTATAAATAAAATACACGTGAATATATTAAGTTTCATTAAAAGATATTTTTTTTATTATTACAGATTGTCTTTTTTTTTAACCGACAATCTACTCATAAACTAATAACACAAATTCCACATATGTTCACGACGGGACTTGAACCCTCAACCTCAAAAGGACATCATATGATACCGCTCGACTATATGCCCTTTGGTAAAGTTTAATTGTCGACAACATATATCAGACTATTCATTAATAGAAACAAACTAAAGACAAGTTATACAAATAATATGTGCTAAAGGTAAAGTTAAAATTCAAAATCCATAAAATTACAAAAGTTATGTTTCTCGTTAAAATACTAGCGTAAGATTTTATATTACTTCATTCATTTTTCATCTACAAACATTATCCAAGAACAATGATTTTGATTTTATTTTACATAATTCCTTTTAATATTATATCTACGCAATTAGAGTCAATCATTAAATATATTATCAAATTAGATATTACAATCACGTATCATGCCGTTTAGATAAATAACTTCTTTTGTAAGAAGCATATATTTATAAAAATATTAAAAAATGACCACATGATCTTTGAATCGAGGGTATTTTAAACTAAGTTTTATGTTGTTTTATTATAAGTAGTTTTCTGTCAAAAAAAAATATATATCTTTAAATCTAGTTTCGGATTTCGTACAGAGAAAAAAAGTATTATGTAAATTCGAAACCATATATCATATTTAATTCTTATTCAATATGTTTCTTTAAAAAAAAAATCAGTAAAAAACAAAATATTTTTCAGAAATTTTGGATTTATTTATCATATTTTGGATATGGTTTCGAATTTATTGAATACTTTTTTTTCCCTGTATGAAATCCGAAACTAGATTTAAAGATATATATATTTTTTTTTGATAGAAACTACTTATAATAATACAACATAAAACTTAGTTTAAAATACCCTCGATTCAAATATACAAAACCAAATGAGATTAAATTATTTATTAATATACCAAATTTTCGTGTAATCATTTTCATAAATATCTCTATTTCATATCGTAAAAAGAGTGAAAAGAAGGTTCGGAAAACCTGAAAGTGAAGAATGATAATTGTCAGAGTTAGTTGTCAGAATGATGCGTGTGAAATCAATCTTGAATTTCACGACTCTTGGCGTGGCCCACACCCTTTGATCGGACCTTTGAAAATATTTTACTATTATTAAAAGGGTTAAAATTTTAAACTATAAAATGTTGTTGCCGTATTTAAAAAGAAGACAAAACTTCAAAATTAATCCTTGTAGTTTCATAAAAATTTTGGATAGGGTTCAAAATGTTTTCGATTTGTATGGAATGTCCAAAATTAAAAACTTCCTTTGATTTTAGTTCAAAAAAAACTTGAAATGACGATTATCCCATTTTATTTTATTTTTTGTTATTTTATAATTAATTTAATCCCATTTTAACTTTAAAAAAAAAAAAAGATTATCCCCACCCACCTATCTCTCTCTCTCTACCACAATAAACACACACTCTCACATATATAGTTGATGCAGGTTCATCACCACCCCTCCCATCTTCTTCTTCCTCATCTTTACCTGCAACTAAAACCTCTCACATATACATCCTGAAAATCAAATCTCTCACAAACAAAACCCGCTAATAGAGGTGTTGGTTCTAGGAGTCAAGACATCTGATGACATCCCTCAGCCACTGTTTTATCTTCTCCAACACTAGTTTAAATATTCTTTTGGGTTTTTAGTTTACATCATCTCATCTTCTGGGTTTTTGATTTCCACAAAGAGGGGTAAGATTAGCAAGAAAAAAACACCTTTAATTGCAAGAATAAAGATCAAATAAGGGTGGGATGAAACTGTAGTTGCTTCTCCATCAGCCTCATCTTTGAAGACACAATTGATGCATCCGAATCACTTATAATTTTCCCTTATTTTAGTTCCAACTCCTTAACTTTGTTTTCCTATTTCTATACATTTTCATCTATTGGCTGAATTGGATGTCCCATGAAAGAAAATTGGAATCGTATGCTTCTAAATAGATCAGAAAAAGCAGAAGGAAAACAATGCACTCCAGGTGCTCGATGAAACAACTGAAAGAACAGTACCTTCAGATATTTCAATATATGAAAGAAAAGTACCTTTACTGAGGTTCTGGAAACGAAATACTTCTGAATTACAAACACATATCAGAATAGAAAAGTGAAGGAATCGGGAATGAGTTCATTGTTCAGCCAAGATGGAGTTTGGAGTATGTTGCAGTCATCAAAGATAGATCCGAAGAAGAAGTTTAACCTTATTGAACATGTTGAGATGAATACGTTTGGTTTTTGATGATGGGAAATTAATTGAAGAATTTGGTTTTTTTAGGGTTAACTTATATGTATAATATAGTAGGAAAAAGAAGAAGGAGAGAGAGAGAGAGAGAGAGAGAGAGTGTGTGTGTGTGTGTGTATGTGGGGGTGGTTGGTAGCAAATTGTTTTTGTTTTTTTTTTTAAATCAAAATAGTATTAAAATAATTATAAAATAGAAAAAAAAGGGTATAACCGTCTTTTCAAGTTTTTTTGGACCAAAATCATAGAAAATTCTTGATTTTGGACCTTCCATGCAAGTCAAAAACTTTTTGGATCCTATCCAAAGTTTTTTGAATACCACAGGGACCAAATTTACAGTTTTGTCTAAAAAGAAAGTAAGGAAGTTTCAAAAAGGTTTTAAAGGAACATCAAAGTTTTAATTGTTAAAAAAACACCATCAAATTATAGATTTTGTATAAGAAAAACACCAATAAAGTATATTTTTTGTTCAAATCTCATCTAGTGATAACCGATTCTTATAATTTAATGATGACTCGGATTAAGAATTGTTGAGTTAGTCTAACAATTAATGGCATAGGATAAGAGTGGATGTCATGAAATTTATGTTTGTATTTTTTAAAATTGAATTAGGGCTACAAGGAAAATGAACGACTTTGACTCTTTCTTTTCCTATTTCATCTTCTTCTTCGGGTCCTATGATGACTTCATCTTCTACTAAATACATAATCTCAACCTCAAGCTCAAAGTTTTTGAATACAAATAAGAATTTTAATGATGCATACCCTTGTCGTTGTCTGTTCCCATCACGAATTTGGACTTCAACCACTAAGATGAATTCTGAAAAAAAAAAAAAGTTTAGGGTTTGTCATAATCGAATGGTGAGTTATCATACTATTCTCTTACATATTTGCTTAGTTATGTCATTCTCCCTATTTGGTTGGTTATTTGATTTATTTTTGTTGCATATAAAGTATCCAAACATACCAAATTGTGCTCTTTGGATATGGGTTGATGAAGATGAAGGACCA